AACAATACATACAATCAATAAACTTGTCTCATAATAACACTCGAGACAATGAGACAAGATATCAACCAACACACAACTTGGTAATGTAACCAAATAGCTTGGCCACATCCAAGAACAAACCTAACAACACCCATAATCCAATTAATAACAATTCAGACGCACACCCAAACACAAAGCAATAATCCAGAACAAACTCAAACAACATAGCAACAGTCTGAAATCATTTAAAAAGATGATATCTCATAACTCATACAAAATTGTTCCTCACATAATGGCATTCTCAAGACAATAATGCAACGAATATCTTAACAATACAAAGTCAATGAAAACACATAAAGGAGTCAATTTTGTACTAAATACACCCTTTTTTCATTATAACCACAAAGCCCATTAAAATCCTACATGTCTACCCATGTGAGTCCCACACTAAACCAAAAGTTTCCTCTCACTTTTCACTTTCACGGACCCCATGTCCTAGCATGCACTCCACCCATTCATGAAACTCCTTCCTACAATTTATAAAATTCATCATGGCCTCACCATTACCTAACCTATACAACTATTATCCTACACTCCACGTCACTTCACCACCACTATTCGTGCATAATTTATATCCTATATAAATTTCACTTCAACATCATTGCCCTACACCGTTTTCTCCTCATTTCACATAACACAATTTACTCTTCCATGCAATTATACATGCACATAAGTCCCATAACCACTTTGAATCCTATATTTCCATGCTAAAGGCTACCTTCACGTGAAACCAAAGCCTCACTCTAAATCCAATTTTTAAGCGTAATCACATGCCCTCCAATTCTCACGTTAACTACTGCAAACCTTGCACCCCTTTTGGAACCCAAAACCAACTTTCCTAGTATAGCTAAAGGTGCACTAACCACCCATGTCATGAATTGTCTACTCCTCCACTATTGTAACAACACCCCAACTCTCACTCCCTACTACTACATTTTCGGTCACCCCCCACCTTCACTCACGATTAACAATACATGGCCAAGAATAAGGAAATCAACCAATACATGTGAAACAAGGCCCTTTATTTTGAGAAAACTACTAACATACTAGCAACCCTAAGAGGTATGTGATTATAAGAATGTTGGTAATGCAAGACAATAACATAAAGCTTTAGTTTCGAGAGACTAAATCATATCCATCCTCCTAGCCTTAACAGCTAATGAGTGCATGTTTATGCCTTCATTTAGTTGTTAAAGACAAAATCGTCTATATGAATAAACGATCACATGTTTTGAAATTTAATCGAATAACATCAAAACGGGTTAAAGATCAAAAACCAACCTAGGATAAAAACATAGACCAAAATCCCAAACACACAAAACTAGAACCTAAACCTCAAACATAAAAATCGTAGAAAAACACTTAGGTCCTAAGAAATAGAAAAACATTTAGTCTAGAACAACCAGACGCTTGACTAGACGATGTCTTGTCTAAAAGTGTCTGAGAGAGAAATGAGTTAAATGCTCAACGCTAAAAATACCTAAATTAGGTATTTAACTTCTCTAAAAAATGAAACAGATCGAGACAATGTATTCGGCTAAAATAATTAAAAGACCTAGCTTTTAAAAGACATAAGAAAGCATGAGCAAGCTAAACGCTATTTGTCTACAAAGAGACAAAAATAAAAGAAGTGTTTAGTTGAATCAAGATGATACTATGAGCGAAACAGACATGTGATCTTACGATGAAGTATCCATATGTTTGGTATCTTCAAATTAAAAGAGATTAATTATAAAATGCTACCTAACGGTAGGAAATCAAAAGCTCTTTGTTGTTTTGAGCAAGCATTAAATGATATTAAATTTCCAACGTTCAAAAACAACAAAAGTGATAAGAAAGGTCATATTTGTTGCATGCATAATTTACTTTAATTTTGCAAATAAGCTATTCTACACACATTCATAGTGCTACAGATCAAATATCAAATGTGGAAATTAGAGACAAAAGAGATAATCATGGAATGTTCCTTTCTTGAAGCAAAGTTTAAAAAGATCATACAACCTACAACAAAGGACTGAAAATCATGTCTATTCTGATAAAGTTGACTTACATAACGACTGCTGTGAAAAGAAGAAAGAGAAAATATAAGCATCAAGGCTACGAACTACAAACGTTGTCCAATGGACAAATATTCATCAAGCCTATAAATAGAAGAACTCTCACAAAGAAAATCAAGAGGATAGAAAAGAGGATAGCAAGTGTGCAAAACTTCCAATGCCATATCCATCCCAGAGAAAAGAAGAGAGAAAAAGAGCTCAAAGAAACGATTATATATCAGTTGAAGAAAAGAGAAGAGAAGAGAAAAGAGAAAAAGATACTTTCGAGCTTAAGCATCAAATCTCTTACTTTTGTAAGATCATAAAGAGAAACACATGTGAGTGTTTAGACTGTATTGTATTGTATTCATACCCTCTCATTGAGAGATTTCGTCTAAACTACTTGTAAGCAATCTTCGGTTGCAATTCAAAAGAGAATTAAAATACTTACAACTGAACTCTTTTGAGTTTAGGAATCTAGGCATGATAGTATAGTACATGGAGTGGTTCAAATACTCAAGGAAATCTCAGCGAGTTGTTGAGTACCAAGAGTGGTGCGAATACTCAAAGAAAATATCAGGGAGGTAGCTGAGTACCAAGAATGGTGCGAATACTCAAAGAAAATATCAGGGAGGTAGCTGAGTACCAGAAGTGGCGCTAATACTCATTTGTAATCATGTGAAAATTATAGTGGAACTCTCTATGGAGTAGACTAGATGTAGCTCAGTTAGAGTGAACCAGTATAAAATCTCTTGTGTTATTGTCTCTTCTCTTTGCTAAACGGTCCTCTTAGAAAACTTGCAGTTGAGCTTTTTATTTGAAAATATAAGAACTTCCAAGCTAAACAATCCTCTATTTTTAAAGGAAGTTCTTACAATCACAGTAGTAGAAATTATTCTGATTAGGACGCTGATCTTTATAAAGCTTATATTTTAAGTCAAGCGTCTAAGCCTTTAAAAGAATATCTCATTCGCTTTACAACGTACTATATCGAAAGGGTTACGAAAAACGATTTTCATAAACACTAATCAACCCTCCTTTCTAGTGTTTTTCAGGTACTTCACCCTAAACCTTGGAGAACAAGTCATTNGTTGTATTAAAATTTATTATCTACATATTTGAACAATAGTTGTTAAACTCGATTAATCCGTATACACACTTAGAAAAATCAAATATACAGTTAATAGTTATATTATAATAATATATAATAATTATATTATAATAATATAATTAGGGTTAGTTTAAAAATAAAAATGTTTAATAAAAATATAAATTTTAATACAATATTTGTAAAAAATTAAATGTGATCTCATTGGAGTTGAAAAATTTAAAAATTAGAATTGTTTAATTTAAAAAAAAATTAGGTTGAAATACACAAAATTAAAGAAAATTGAAATATAAAATAAGTTATATTAACTTATACGTGGTACTGATACTACATAGACTAATTTAACACGTTGATATTGTGATGTAACATAATATTAACTTGAATAATTTTATTTAAAATTAAAAAAAATTAAAGAAAAATAAACTTACTCATGACACACATGTGAACCATTTAAAAGTCGTTATTAAACAGAACCAAATTCACTTACAAAAAATGAAACTTTATTAAACACTAAAAAAATATTTAAAAGTTGAATAACTTATACATCATTTTATTTGAATCCCAACATTCTCTTCTGCATTCTTTTGTTGTGTCCATTATTTTTATATTGTGTTACAATTCAACCATCATTTCAAATTTAATTGCTTTTAGTTTATAGATTGAAAAGAAATTTTTGAAAAACTTCAAGATTTTTTTTTAAAATATTTCAAAACTAATTGATGCTGATGATTTATTTAAGTCACTCGTTCACTTATACTATTATTATAAAATTCTAAAATACCTTAATTTAATAATACAATAATTATTAAAATATAAAATAAACAACTTAATTAAAGATACGCTAAGACAATAAAAATTAATTAAATAAATATAACTATTTTAAGGTGGGTTTCCTCTCATGTACGGTAGAAAACAAAGTAATTCACTAATTTAGTAAACCAAACTCTGTTGGACTTCTTTTTTCTTAAATTACAGAAAGGATTATCAAAATGAAAGAGACCAATTGGCATTGTTATTCCTAGTTAACACATATAACAATAAAGGTAAAAAACATAAATATTGAAAAAATTTAAATAGTAATAAAAATATGAAAAAAAAAACACATAACAAATATTTATAGAAATAATAAATAAATATTAACTTTTTCAATTTAATCTTTACTCATTCAGACAAGACAACTAAAGCATGATGTGTCTTTTAACATAATCCACTATTAAAGTCGTTATTATCAATTAACTTTTGTTCCCCTACAAACATAATTTTGAATCAAAATTTTAACAATAGTTTTAGTTTACTAATTTTCAGGAGACAACTGAAGACAACATAGGTCGAATGGTTCATTGACTGTTAAATCTAAAATTACAAAAAGCTAAATTCAACCAGTAAATTTTTAAATAAGTAAGAAAGTTTAGTTTTTTTTTTCTATCTACTTAAACATCCTTGAAATATTTAATTATTTTAGAAAGTATCTTCCTAGTAAGAGTGAAAAAAAAAAATAGTTACTAATAATAGAAAGTATTTATTTACTGTGTCTATCAGCCGCGGAGCACAGCACACAGGTTCCTAGTTCACGACCGAACCTACCCAGATGGTAGGACCCACCCATGAAGCGGCTTTAGCATGCCACATAGAACAGCTAGCACGTGGCGTCACTGTGAATCCTAAGCTGTCCACAAAGAAAACAGAACAGTGATGAGGTCGAAGTTGGTAATTACACAAACACCACCACCAAGCACAACAAGAACAACCAGCGGTCCCCACACTCTCTCCAGCTCCTCCTACCTCCTTCTCTTCTTCCTTATATATCCACCTTCCCCTCGTCTCGTAACAACCCTCCTCACACCACACCCTCTGCCATCTATCTGTTCTCTTCTTTTTTCCTCAGTTTCGGTATTCTGTCTTCATCATACCAGACACTCCTTTAACATCTCAATTCTTGGTTACCATCTTCTCACAACTCCGGATCTTCAACCAGTAATTTCAGATCTGTTTGTCTTCATGTGAAAAATACCCCAAATCCGTTTTGTTTCATTTGGATATATACCATCTTTTCTATTTCTCTATTCAGGCACTTGTAACAGAATCTGGACGCTCAAATAAGACTTCTCACAAGTTTAACTCAATTAAAACTATAGGAGAAAAAGAAGCACACACCTTTCACCTTCCTATTGCTTTTAGTTTTTATTTTCTTTTCGTGAACAATGTCGAATGCTTTGTCGTTCACGCTCCCTGTTCTAAACAACCCTCAAATAAAAGCTTTCAATAACCCTAACAAAGCGCGTCTGCGTCTGAGAGGTAGGGTTGCGCGATGCTCTGCCTCTACTGTAGAGAAGAAAAGGTTGTTCGGCACACAGGTGCGGTCGAGTGGGTTCCGGATCGGGTTGCTGCAATCAGGGCGGTTGCCAAAATGGAGGGTGGCAGTCCGGTCAGCATTCTCCACGGTGCCGGAGAAGCCGCTGGGGCTGTATGATCCGGCTATGGACAAGGACTCGTGCGGGGTGGGGTTCGTGGCGGAGTTGTCGGGAGAGTGTAACCGCAGAACGGTACCTTTCGGTTTGGTTTGGATTTAGATGTAACGTGGTGTTTAAGATTGATGAGGTGATTATTTTTTTGGGCGTGTGCACTGCAGGTAACTGACGCGCTGGAAATGTTGGTGAGGATGACGCACAGAGGTGCTTGCGGATGCGAAGCCAACACTGGAGATGGTGCTGGAATTCTTGTTTCTCTGCCTCATGTCTTTTACCAGGAGGCACGTTTTTTGTTTGCGCTTTTTAATTTTACAAATATCTACCACTATGTTTTGTTTGCATTTTTTTTTATTTTACAAATATCTACCCTTAGGTTTTATATAAGTGAAAAGTGAATTCTGGATAGTAATTCGATTTTCAACTCGATTAATTTTACAAATACCAGATAATTTTTAAGTCAATATAGATATCTGGATTAGTAATGATTAAAGTTATACTAATAAAAACATATAAATAATTTGATTATCTATCTATATATAAATTCTACTTTTTTTAACATTGAATATATTTTACTTTACATAATGAACATGGTATTTCTATTTCTTCTAATAAATCTAGTAATAAAAAGTAAGTATGAACTATTTCTTTGAAGGTTTTATAGAAGTGATTGTAAACCATTTATAAAAGTATTTGATTTATAAAGTGTCTATTACATTTTATTTATAACATCATTTTGAAATTGGCAATTTGACATTTTGAAAAAAAAAAAATCTATCATCTCTGTCATACTTAAATTTAAATTAATAACTCCCTTGAACATTATGAGCTTTTTGAACAAAATTGTACTTAACTAATTTTTGTTCAAAACTTATCCGTACATAGAAACAATTACGTCCTCTTGAGGAAATTTCGAAATAGGCATTGTTTGTTGATTCATGGTTTATTATTTTGAGATGTATGTTTTTAGATGAGACATATTGACTTTTGTATGTATGTTTCATGCAAATTACTAGCAATTTTACCATTTTATCATTTGGGATTCTTAGTTGAAAATATATTTATGATTTTTATTTTGTTGTTTTTTGAAAATATATATTATTTTAGTTTCTATTAAAGATGATTTTAATCACTAATAGTTTCGATTGAAGATGATTTAATTTACTAATAGTTTTGATTAATGATGATTTAATTTACTAAAAGCTTGATTTATTTAAGATTTTTTCTCACTTTCAATTATTTATTTTTATTGATACCAACAGCAAATGTGAATGCTTTATTTATTTTTTATATTTGTTTCCTTTTCCTTTCTCTTTTGTTGATTTGGACTATATTATTATTTTAAAGAGCTTTGTATTTGCTTTTTATTTTCTTTTTTCCCAGGAACTTTTAAATTTTATATAAGTATTAGGTTGTACACAATAGTAAATAATACTTAATTGCATTAAGATAAGTTCCTACAGTCTCATTCTTAGACTGTGTAACCTTTTTGTTGATGAAAAAAAAAAAACAAAATATATGATCTATTGGAACTTAGCTTTGTATCTTTCACGAGTTAAATTAAGTAATAGGTTTGTCTTGTTGCAGGTTGTGGATTTTGAGCTTCCTCCCCAAGGAAAATATGCAGTTGGCATGTTTTTCTTGCCAAAGTCTGAAAATCGAAGGGAGGAAAGCAAAAGAACATTTAACAAGGTAAATCTGATTCAGAAGTTTTTGTATTTGATATTTAATTTGAATTGATGTGATGAATTATAATGGCTTTTGAATGCTGTACTTTTCATTATATACTTTTTAAATTATTCTTATCATGCTGAACTTGTCCTCCACTAGCTAAAATTATTATTTTATATTTTACTGACAATTGTTAGTAATTATGCTGTGGTTCTGGTTTAAGGTTGCTGAATCTCTGGGGCACACTGTTCTTGGTTGGCGGTCTGTACCCACTGATAACACAGAATTGGGCAAATCAGCCCTACAGACCGAACCAGTGATTGAACAGGTGTTTCTCACGCCAAGTGCTCAATCAAATGTCGATTTGGAAAGACAGGTATATTTTCTACATGTGACATTGGTGACAAGACATTTGTGTTAAAATATTTAAGTGAAAAAACTAATGGAAACATATTTCTTTCCTATGAAAAAGTTTAAATTTTTTCAGATATAAAATCTTGGTGAGAGTTGAATTTATTGCTTAACAAATTTTGGTTCAGCTCATATTTTTGTCACTGTATGATTAATTCTAAGTGATAATTAAATAGAACTTAATAGGATACTTGGTTTTTGCAGATGTACATATTAAGGAAGCTCAGCATGGCAGCTATTACATCTGCATTAAACCTCCAAAATGACGGCATTACTGATTTCTATATCTGTTCACTTTCATCAAGGTTGGTTGTCTAGAGTGGACCTCGTTTTCTCATGTAAATTATGTTTGCTGCAAATTATGTATTATGTCAAATTCGTGATGGTTATTCAATTTTATACAGGACTGTTGTTTACAAAGGTCAGCTAACACCAGCTCAGTTGAGGGATTATTACTTTGCTGATCTTGGCAATGAAAGGTTTACGAGCTACATGGCCCTGGTAAATATATTACCCATTAGCCTATTTTCTTTCTCCACTAACTCTATACTCCAACAAACAGCATGGGAACAACCAGTAACTGGAGAGATGCAAGGTTGGGGAATGACTTCTGAGGCATTGAGGTTTGAATGATCTCTTAAGTTCTTCCGCTTCCTTGAATACTATTTGAATTTGGATGCTGGATTGGATGCAATGGTCGAGTTGGTAAGAAAGTTCATTATCAAGATAAATCATGTTTGCAGAAATTTCTGCTGATGCTTTGTGGGTAGTTGATCTGGAGGACAATTTCTTCAGAGTGCTGGAGTGAAAAACCATTTTTGGTGAAAGTGAATGGGATATTTAGGATTTCTAGAATTTCTACCGGCACTTAATATATGCGTTTACCTGGAATAAACAGCATTTTTGCATTTGATTTTCTACACTGTTTTATTCTGTTTGGTGTGCATAATTGCAGATACATTCACGGTTTTCTACAAATACTTTTCCTAGCTGGGATCGTGCTCAACCAATGCGTGTATTAGGACACAATGGCGAAATCAACACACTCAGAGGCAATGTTAATTGGTATGCCTTCAGTAATTAAATGGTCTATCAGCAATATGCTCATTATGCTGAAATGAATGAATGCTAAATAGTGTCTGTTAATTACATGATTGTATCTTCATTCCTCCACAAAAGATGGATACTGTGTCAGTTGAGTGTGCGTCAAGCTTATAAAATCATTGTAAATTTTGTGGGGTGTACTCATTGCATTTTAATAGATGTAGTATTGTTTTATTTCTTAGGATGAAGGCACGTGAGGGTTTACTAAAATGCAAGGAGCTTGGTTTATCAGAGAGTGAATTAAAGAAGCTTTTGCCCATTGTGGATGCAAATTCATCAGATTCAGGTAAAATCGTGACTAAAGATTCTGTTTGCACCCTAGACTATAGTCCTATACTGAATCCTAATGGGTACTTTTTAATTGCAGGAGCTTTTGATGGTGTGCTTGAGTTTTTGCTTCATTCAGGAAAAAGTCTTCCTGAAGCTGTTATGATGATGATTCCTGAAGCATGGCAAAATGACAAGAACATGGATTCTCAGCGTAAAGCATTTTATGAATACTTCTCAGCTCTCATGGAGCCATGGGATGGGCCAGCTCTTATATCATGTAAATTTTGCTGGGGCTCCAGTTCTATCACATATTAATGTCCTGTTCGTATTGTTTTTGTCATTTGGCACTAATCCATCTAATCTAATTTCACTACAGTTACCGATGGTCACTACCTTGGAGCTACATTGGATAGGAATGGACTGCGACCAGGCCGTTTCTATGTCACTCATAGTGGACGAGTTATAATGGCAAGTGAAGTTGGGGTTGTTGACATTCCACCAGAAGATATATGTAGGAAAGGTAGACTAAATCCTGGCATGATGCTTCTGGTTGATTTTGAGAAGCATGCAGTTGTAAATGATGATGCCTTAAAAGAGCAGTACTCATTGGCAAGACCTTATGAGGATTGGCTCAAAAATCAGAAAATTGAACTCAAAGACATTGTTGATTCTGTTCCTAAATCTGGAAGAGTACCACCACCCATAGCAGGAGTGACTACAGTAAGTATAGCATAAATATTGATGTGAACAACTCTCAAATTTCTTGTAGACAATTCTAATGGTTACATGTTAAATGAACTGCAGCCATCCAATGATGACGTAGATATGGTAAATATGGGCATCCATGGCTTACTGGCTCCATTGAAAGCTTTTGGGTATGCAACATCCAACATTAATATTTGTTCAATTCTATCTGCAGTTTTTATGAAGAAAAATATTTTTACATGCTGCTTTATACTTGCAGATATTCAGTTGAATCATTGGAAATGCTGTTACTTCCTATGGCCAAGGATGGGGTAGAAGCCCTTGGGTCAATGGGAAATGATACACCACTAGCTGTCATGTCTAATAGAGAGAAACTTACTTTTGAATATTTCAAGCAAATGTTTGCTCAAGTGACAAACCCTCCTATTGATCCNGTCTGATTTAATTAAGTAATATAAAATGTTTTCTCCTTTTATTATTCTCTATAACTGTTTTTGTTATTTTTGTATGAACTTTCTGTATAGTATGTAAGATATTATTGTTAAATTTTAATGAAAGTACTTTATGATGTAAGATATTAAGTTAGGTATTAAAATTTAGCACTACACTCAAACAGATTTTCCTGCATGGAGTTGAACTTCTTTTACATTTTAACACGAATAATATCTTTTTCAGAAAATTTCTTTTTGAAATTTTCACATGTCAATGTTGTTTTTATGGTTTGCATCATTTGTCTTTTGTCTATTAGGTAGAGTTCAGTCTCCTTTTATAGCACATAATAGCACATAAATAATACAAGAGAATTTCTTGTCTTTATGAAAAAGTGTAATTTAAAGAAATCTTTTCTACTTCCTAAACTCCATATATAGAATGAGTGTTATGCAGGAATAGATAAGATCTTAGATTATATAATCAAATCTAAAAAGTTTACTTAATGATAGCTTATTTTTCACTTATTAACACTATTGGGAGATATTCCTATAAAGATTTCAATACAATAAATCAAAATTATCTGAAATTGTGTACTAATTTATTATAATAGAAAAAATATATGTTAAAAAAAATTAATTTATTATTCATATTTATTTTGCTGACAAAATATGTTAAATGTTGATTTTTTTAATTATTTAATATTATTAATTTATTCTTTTATCTATATTTATTTTAACAGTCGCATGTTTTTATAAAATGATTTTATTCTTTTATCTTTTTTTTATTCATATTTATTTTGGAGTTGCATGTCCTAAAAATTTATTTTACTTTTTTACTTTTTATAATATTAAACAATAACTTATATTTAAACTATTAATTATCTTTTTCTATACTTTTTTTAATTTTTAACTATATTTTTTTTATGAATTTTAATTACCTAGTAATTTAATAAAATAAAATTTAAAAAATATATTTTACTTTGATTTTTAAAATAATTTTATTTTAAAAAATAATATATATTTATTGATATAGATAATATCTTTGTCTTAAATAATTATTTTATAACTATTACATTAAATTATAATATAAATATTTTTAAATATTTTTTAGTACGTAAAAATTAAACTAGGATCTCGTAAAAGATTATAAATAGTTATATTTGTAATAAAATAAATTGAAATGTTGTATTAAAATTTATTATCTACATATTTGAACAATAGTTGTTAAACTCGATTAATCCGTATACACACTTAGAAAAATCAAATATACAGTTAATAGTTATATTATAATAATATATAATAATTATATTATAATAATATAATTAGGGTTAGTTTAAAAATAAAAATGTTTAATAAAAATATAAATTTTAATACAATATTTGTAAAAAATTAAATGTGATCTCATTGGAGTTGAAAAATTTAAAAATTAGAATTGTTTAATTTAAAAAAAAATTAGGTTGAAATACACAAAATTAAAGAAAATTGAAATATAAAATAAGTTATATTAACTTATACGTGGTACTGATACTACATAGACTAATTTAACACGTTGATATTGTGATGTAACATAATATTAACTTGAATAATTTTATTTAAAATTAAAAAAAATTAAAGAAAAATAAACTTACTCATGACACACATGTGAACCATTTAAAAGTCGTTATTAAACAGAACCAAATTCACTTACAAAAAATGAAACTTTATTAAACACTAAAAAAATATTTAAAAGTTGAATAACTTATACATCATTTTATTTGAATCCCAACATTCTCTTCTGCATTCTTTTGTTGTGTCCATTATTTTTATATTGTGTTACAATTCAACCATCATTTCAAATTTAATTGCTTTTAGTTTATAGATTGAAAAGAAATTTTTGAAAAACTTCAAGATTTTTTTTTAAAATATTTCAAAACTAATTGATGCTGATGATTTATTTAAGTCACTCGTTCACTTATACTATTATTATAAAATTCTAAAATACCTTAATTTAATAATACAATAATTATTAAAATATAAAATAAACAACTTAATTAAAGATACGCTAAGACAATAAAAATTAATTAAATAAATATAACTATTTTAAGGTGGGTTTCCTCTCATGTATGGTAGAAAACAAAGTAATTCACTAATTTAGTAAACCAAACTCTGTTGGACTTCTTTTTTTTTAAATTACGGAAAGGGTTATCAAAATGAAAGAGGCCAATTGGCATTGTTATTCCTAGTTAACACATATAACAATAAAGGTAAAAAACATAAATATTGAAAAAATTTAAATAGTAATAAAAATATGAAAAAAAAAACACATAACAAATATTTATAGAAATAATAAATAAATATTAACTTTTTCAATTTAATCTTTACTCATTCAGACAAGACAACTAAAGCATGATGTGTCTTTTAACATAATCCACTATTAAAGTCGTTATTATCAATTAACTTTTGTTCCCCTACAAACATAATTTTGAATCAAAATTTTAACAATAGTTTTAGTTTACTAATTTTCAGGAGACAACTGAAGACAACATAGGTCGAATGGTTCATTGACTGTTAAATCTAAAATTACAAAAAGCTAAATTCAACCAGTAAATTTTTAAATAAGTAAGAAAGTTTAGTTTTTTTTTTNGGACTTATCAGTCCACCACCCCATCATGATATTTATTCAATTGAAGACCTTGCCCAACTAATTCATGATCTGAAGGTATTTTCATCTAAGGATTCTATTTCTCAATCAGTGTTTTTAATTGAATATTCCTTAAATAGACGTTAATTCTGCTTAATTCCATTCTGTTAATATGTAGAATGCCAACCCAACTGCTCGGATTAGTGTGAAGTTGGTATCTGAAGCTGGGGTGGGAATTATTGCTAGTGGAGTTGTTAAAGGCCATGCCGACCATGTGTTGATCTCAGGTCATGATGGAGGTACTGGGGCATCCAGATGGACTGGCATAAAGAATGCTGGGCTTCCTTGGGAACTTGGCCTGGCTGAGACCCACCAGACTTTGGTTGCTAATGATCTACGTGGTCGCACAGTCCTCCAAACTGACGGGCAACTAAAAACAGGGAGAGATGTGGCCATAGCTACTCTGCTTGGTGCAGAAGAGTTTGGCTTCAGTACTGCTCCGCTTATTACTCTTGGATGCATCATGATGCGGAAATGCCACAAGAACACTTGTCCAGTCGGCATTGCTACTCAAGATCCCGTGCTCAGAGAAAAGTTTGCTGGTGAACCCGAGCATGTTATCAACTTCTTTTTTATGGTGGCAGAAGAAATGAGAGAAATTATGTCCCAGCTTGGGTTTAGGACAGTTAATGAGATGGTTGGTCGATCTGATATGCTTGAAGTTGATAAGGAAGTCATTAAGAGCAACGAGAAACTAGAGAACATTGATCTCTCTCTGCTGCTTAGACCTGCAGCTGAATTGCGGCCAGAAGCTGCTCAATATTGTGTGCAAAAACAAGATCATGGTTTGGACAATGCCTTGGATAACAAGCTCATAAGTCTGTCTAATGCTGCTTTGGAAAAGGGTCTCCCTGTATACATTGAGACTCCAATCTATAATGTAAACCGTGCAGTGGGAACCATGCTTAGCCATGAGGTGACTAAACGTTACCACCTAGCTGGTCTTCCAAACGACACCATTCATATCAGATTTACTNCGAGCATGTTATCAACTTCTTTTTTATGGTGGCAGAAGAAATGAGAGAAATTATGTCCCAGCTTGGGTTTAGGACAGTTAATGAGATGGTTGGTCGATCTGATATGCTTGAAGTTGATAAGGAAGTCATTAAGAGCAACGAGAAACTAGAGAACATTGATCTCTCTCTGCTGCTTAGACCTGCAGCTGAATTGCGGCCAGAAGCTGCTCAATATTGTGTGCAAAAACAAGATCATGGTTTGGACAATGCCTTGGATAACAAGCTCATAAGTCTGTCTAATGCTGCTTTGGAAAAGGGTCTCCCTGTATACATTGAGACTCCAATCTATAATGTAAACCGTGCAGTGGGAACCATGCTTAGCCATGAGGTGACTAAACGTTACCACCTAGCTGGTCTTCCAAACGACACCATTCATATCAGATTTACTGGTAGTGCAGGCCAGAGTTTTGGTGCATTCCTCTGTCCTGGTATCACTTTGGAACTTGAAGGTGATAGTAATGACTATGTTGGTAAAGGATTATCCGGTGGCAAGATTGTTGTGTATCCTCCAAAAGGAAGTAATTTTGACCCTAAGGAGAACATCGTGATCGGTAATGTGGCGCTCTATGGGGCCACTCGAGGGGAAGCTTACTTCAATGGAATGGCAGCGGAAAGATTTTGTGTCCGTAATTCTGGGGCTACGGCTGTTGTGGAAGGTGTTGGTGATCACGGGTGTGAGTACATGACTGGCGGAACTGTTGTTGTGCTTGGGGAAACTGGTAGAAATTTTGCTGCAGGTATGAGTGGTGGGATTGCTTATGTTCTAGATCTGGATGGAAAATTCCAATCTCGGTGCAACTTGGAACTAGTAGATCTGGACAAGGTTGAAGAGGAAGAGGACATTTATACTCTTAGAATGTTGATACAGCAGCATCAGCGTCACACAAATAGTCAGCTTGCCAAAGAAGTGCTTGATGATTTTGAGAATCTTCTTCCTAAATTTATCAAGGTATTCCCTCGGGAGTATAAACGCGCTCTAGCTAGTGTGAAGTCAGAGGAAGCCTCCAAAGATGAAGCAAAAGATGCCGAAGACCAAGATGATGAAGCACAAGCGGTAGAGAAAGATGCTTTTGAAGAACTTAAGAAACTGGCAACTGCATCTTTGAATGAGAAACAGAGTCAGGTTAGTTTATTTTTACCATCAATTTTTTTATAATATTTGTATATTATCTGTTCTATTTCATAAGAAAAAAACGATCTGTTTTAAAAATTAAAACCTGTTAGATTGGGTTTCACTCTACCAAATTTATAATATAACATTGATTTTTAATAAAATGGGACGTGTTAGATGGAGTTGAGGTGAGATGGAAATGGAGGGGTTATCTTATCTTCCTTAATTACTGGGCAGTATGCCAGGAAATTGTAATTTTATAACGTAGAGTAAGTTTTGCACAGTTTATCCATGTTGATGTGTTTGAATATCTGCAGGCTGAGGCGCCCAAGAGGCCAAGTAGAGTCAGTGATGCCATTAAGCATAGAGGTTTTGTTGCATATGAGCGCGAGGGTGTTCAGTATAGGGATCCTAATGTTCGCATGACAGATTGGAAGGAAGTGATGGAGGAGACAAAGCCTGGTCCCCTGTTGAAAACACAGTCAGCCCGTTGCATGGACTGTGGTACCCCTTTCTGTCATCAGGTGTGCATTTCCACCTCCAAGTTTTCATTTTTACTTCACAACTTACTTATTTTCTTAAAAGGGTTTTCTGGACCTGCATTTAAACTGATGTTTGCATAATATTTCAGGAAAATTCGGGATGCCCTCTTGGAAATAAAATACCAGAGTTTAATGAGCTAGTATACCAAAATAGGTGGAAGGAAGCATTAGAGAGGCTTCTTGAAACAAATAACTTTCCAGAGTTTACTGGTAGGGTATGCCCAGCACCTTGTGAAGGTTCTTGTGTCCTTGGTATTATTGAGAATCCCGTGTCTATTAAAAGCATTGAATGTGCCATCATAGATAAGGCTTTTGAGGAGGGTTGGATGGTGCCACGACCTCCAGTCAAGAGAACTGGGTAATTTGTTTTTCTTCTTAGCATTTAGTTTTATTCACTTTTATTCTGTTGTTCCTTTTCAGCAAATATGTATAACCCACCAAGTTGATGTTCAGTAATTAGCAAAATTTAACTGGAACATTCTCTAAGTTTTTGAAATCGACTACTGTTGCCATTAAGTAATATCTTTCCTGATACAGGAAAAGAGTAGCCATCGTTGGAAGTGGACCAGCAGGTTTGGCAGCTGCTGATCAGCTAAATAAAATGGGTCATACGGTAACAGTGTATGAAAGAGCTGATAGGATTGGAGGGCTTATGATGTATGGGGTCCCCAACATGAAATCTGACAAAGTGGACGTAGTTCAACGACGAGTGAATCTTATGGCCGAGGAGGGAGTAGATTTTGTGGTGAATGCTAATGTTGGACATGACCCTTTATACTCTTATGATCGGCTTCGGGAGGAAAATGATGCCATTGTCTTGGCTGTAGGATCTACAAAACCAAGGTGAAGCAGTGATATGAAGTCCTTGTTACCTATTTGTTTTAGTTCAACTCCTCTAAGTGGGTGTACTGAGAATTATATAATTCTTTTCATGTAGGGATCTTCCTGTACCTGGGCGGGAGCTGTCAGGAGTTCATTTTGCCATGGAGTTTCTTCATGCAAATACTAAAAGCTTGCTTGATAGTAATCTCGCGGATGGTAACTACATTTCAGCCAAGGACAAGAAAGTTGTGGTCATTGGTGGAGGTGACACTGGCACAGATTGCATAGGAACATCCATTCGTCATGGTTGTAGTAGCATTGTAAATCTTGAACTCCTTCCTCAGCCCCCACCAACTAGGGCTCCTGGCAACCCATGGCCTCAGGTTTGATTTGGATTGTTAGTTTTAAAGTTTTGCCATGTATCTTCTTAGAAGTACACAACCAGAAATTGGACTCTTGTAATTACTAGTAATGGCTAAATAATTGACGACATAATTTTGTTCATATTAACTGTTACTGACTTGAATCTTTGAGCTTAAATTACAATATTTTTGGAATGCAGTGGCCTCGCATATTCCGAGTAGATTACGGTCACCAAGA